TGCTTGAGCCGAGTAAAATTTTTATTCGTATTTTGCTCGCCTGTCCTCGGATGATTGCTATGACATATTGTGCGCTTATTTTGAGATGATTTTTTTCATAATCTTACTCTCGGCAGATTGAAAGTTTTCTGCTGTGATTAGAATAGTGAAAATTTTAGGGCTTAATAATTGCTACTGAACGATAAGAGGCGTGCATATTTTCAAGGAGAGAGTTGAGATAATCAAAGTGAGAATATATATTTCAATTGCATGCAAATAAATTATGCGTATCGATGCTTCCGTAATGAAACAGCTGCTTGAATGCGCCATTTTGAAACAACTTACCAATATAACCGATTTGGATGGCGAGTGCTGAGAGTTTTCCTTGCAGAACAGATTTGGCCACTTTTCCGTCGTCCTCTTCCTGTTCCACTGAATGTTTCTTTTCACCAACTTGAACACCGTTTACGGATATTCGTCCTGTGTAATTGAAAATATCGATATGTGGGGTGATCATGTTATAACGCGATCACTCTTAACTAATGGCTCATTCATGAGGCATTTCCATACTGCCATAGTTTCAGTAATCCCACTAACCACCCTCTATACTATTGATAAGGCACAGTATAGGTACCACAACTAGTTCTGAAATCGTTTTCCGAAAACATCTGTCAATACGAGTTAATAAATATGACCTTCGTTACTTCAACAATCATGAGGCGAACGCTGGTATTCGGAAAATCGATAGCGATGAATTTTGCGACATTTTGGACTTTTGACTGACTTTGAGAGTAAACGAGAAATCCGGAAAACATTCAGTTGTTTCTCATGGAACCCTTCGAGGAGNTTTTCGTTGCGCCCAGCAATGACATAATGATACCAGTTTGCGAATTAACACCAACCGCTGTTATCAGCATCCGACCGCTTCCCTCCATGGCATGTGTGCCTGCAGAAAACCTCCCTTCACCTCAGACTAATTACTGACCAACAACTAATACTTTCAGCTAGAAAATAAAATTATTTTGAATACGCTAAAATTTCGACCTTATTGCATCAATCACATGGAAATGTTAATGCAAAATATCCATGTTCGATGAATTGTTTTGTCGAAGAGATGATTTTGTGAGGCAGCTTCCAGAGAGTTTTCATCACTGTGATTCCCGTAGAGCTTGCGTTTATTAGGCAACTATCTCAATCCCTTCAATGCAGAAAGGTAAATCGGTAACCTGATAAAAGAATCGGATCACCGTCAGGACTTTTC